AGCAGATAAAGTGCTTCCCAGAAAAGGCCAAGTTAAAGGAGTTCATCATCACCAAGCCTTTATTATATGAAATGTTAAAGGGACTTATCTAAGAAATTGAAGAAGATCAAAAACTATGAACAGTGAAATGACAACAAACTCACAACTATCGACAAATGAATCTTAAAAAAAGGAAAAACAATGAAAATAAAAAGTAAGCAAACAACTAGAACAGGAACAGAATGAGAGAAATGGACATCACATGGAGGGTTTTCAGTGGGAAGGGGAGACATGAAATAGGGGGGAAAAGGTACAGGTAATAACAAGTATAATTGGTAGGCATAAAATAGATGGGAAGAGGTCAAAAATGGTATAGGAAACAGAGAATTCAAATAACTTATATGTACAACCCATGGACATGAACTAAGGCGGGGGGCGGGGGGGCGGCTCCTGGAGGAAGCGGGGGCAAGGCAGAGAGGGGATAAACAGGGAAAGATTGGGAAAACTGTAATAGAATAATCAATAAAATACACAGAAAAATTTTAGGAAATTAAAATATCATCATGGGCCCCTAAAAGTATCATGGACCCCAGGTACTGTGATTATTGTGCCTAACAGGCAATTTGGCCCTGCTTGCTATAAATCTTCTCAGGATCTCCTTTGCATAGCCAGATTTTCATTGCTTCCTAAACCAAAATAGTCTTACCAAATGCTCTTCATGTCAATATGCCAATCAATTCTGATTGTTTAAAAGTTATATTTTTAAGTTAATAATTTTTACATGCTACATAGGAAATTCTAATGTTTTACATCTCTCATCTATATGATGAACATAATAATTACTTTACAGAATTAAATGAAGTATGTAAAAATGTTTGTAAACCACAAATTATTTTACAAAAGTTGGATAATAATATACTTAAAAGTTTTGTAACTTCAGTACCTTAATCCAAAATTTAAGTATGCCAATTCAATTTTATTTCAAGCTAATTCAAGAGACTCACAATGAGAAACCATGAGAGATGGCCCTCAGTGATTCATCAGTGACTTTTGTTGTTGAAGGCAGCATAACTGGTAACTGATGCTAGTCTGAGAACTAAATAAGGCCCATTTTCTTCTGCAATACTGCCTTGGTGTACTTAGTACACTTCTTCAGAGTAGCAGGGGAACATCTTTTTTTATAAGCCTTTTTTTTTATTAAAACTTTATTGTATTTTTTCCCATTACCTTTTAGACTTCTTATACCTTCACCCCCATTAATCACCACACTGTTGTCCATGTCCATGAGTCCTTTTTCCTCTTTGCTCAGTCCCTCTATACCCTAACTCCCCACCCCCACTAGCTGACATCCTGCTCTCCATCTATGAGTCTGTCCCCATTTTCTTTGTTAGTTCAGTTTTCTCATTAGATCCCACATATGAGTGAAATCATATGGTATTGCCTTTCTCTGACTGGCTTATTTCACTTTGCATAATGTTCTCCAGGTCCATCCATATTGTTGCAAAGGGTAAAATTTTCTTTTTTTTTATGGCCAAGTAGTATTCCATACTATTTGGAATGTCCCATAGTTGTTTTATCCACTCATCTATTGATGGACACTTGGGCTACTTCCATATCTTGGCAACTGCAAATAATGCTGCAATGAACATAGGGATACTTATGTTCTTTTGAATTAATGTGTTGGGTTTCTTTGGATATATTCCAAGAAGTGGGATAGTTGGGTCAAAAGGCAGTTTCATTTTTAATTTTTGAGGTATATCCATAGTGCTTTCCACAGTGGCTGCACCAGTCTGTATTCCCACCAGCAGTCAAAAGTGTTCCCCTTTCTCCACAGCCTTGCCAGTGCTTGTATGTTGATTTATTGATGATAGCTATTCTGACAGGTGTGAGATGGTGTCTCATTGTGGTTTTAATTTTCATTTCTCTGATTATTAGTGAAATTGCACATCTTTTCGTACGTCTATTGGCCATCTGTATGTCCTCTTTGGAGAATTGTTTATTCAGGTCCTTTGCCATTTTTTTAATTGTTTCTTTGTTTCTTTGGTGTTCAGTTTTGTAAGTCCTTTGTAAATTTTGGATATTAACCCCTTATCACATGTATTGGCAAATATGTTCTCCCATTCTTTGGATTGTTTTTTTTATTTTATTGATTATATCCTTTGCTGTGCAAAAAGTTTTTAGTCTGATGTAGTCCCATTTGTTTATTTTTTTCTTTTGTTTCCTTTGCCTGGGGAGATATCTCCAATAAAAAATTGCTACAAGCAATGTCCAAGATTTTGCTACCTATGTTTTATTCCAGGATTTTTATAGTTTCAGGTCTAACATTTAAGTCTTTGATCCATTTTGAATTTATTTTTCTGTGTAGTGTAAGAAGGTAGTCTAGTTTCATTTTTCTGCATGTATCTGTCCAATTTTCCCAATACCATTTATTGAATAAACTGTCAATAGCCCATTATATATATATATATATCCTTGCTTCCTTGTCAAATACAAAATATTAGCAAACCATATACAGCAATGCATCAAAACGATCATACCCCATGATCAAGTGGAATTTATTCTGGGAATATAAGGTTGATACAACATTCACAAGTCAATAAACGTGATTCACCACATAAAAAAATGAAGGATGAAACCACATGATCATATCAATAGATGCAGAAAAAGCATTTAATAAAATACAGCACCATTTATAAGAAGTGTCAGCAAAGTGGGAATAGAGGGAACATACCTAAACTTAATAATGGCCATGTATGACAAACCCACTGCCAGCATCATTCTCAATGGGCAAAAACTACAAGTGTTCCCCTTAAGATCAGGAACAAGACAGGGATGCCTACTTTCAACTCTCTTATTCAACACAGTACTGAAAGTCCTAGCCATAGCAATCAGACAAGAAGAAGAAATAAAAAGCATCCAAATTATAAAGGAAGTAGTAAAAGTGTCTTTATTCGCAAATGACATGATTCTGTACAGAGAACCCCAAACATTCCACCAAGAAACTACTAGAATTGATAAATGAATTCAGCAAAGTAGCAGGATACAAAATTAATATCCAGAAACCAGATGCATTTTTATATGCCAATAACTAACAGAAATGGAAATCAAGAAAACAATCCCATTCACAACTGCTTCAAAAAGAATAAAACCTGTAGGAATATACCTAACCAAGGATGTAAAAGGCCTGTACATGGAAAATTATAAGACACTGAAGACAGAAATTAAAAAAGATACAAATAAGTGGAACCACATACTGTGTTCATGGATAGGAAGAATTAACATCATTAAAATGTCCATTCTAACCAAAGCAATCTATAGATTCAAGGTAATTCCTAACAAGATTCCAATGATATATTTCAAAGAACCAGAACAAATATTTCAAAACTTATATGGAACCATAAAAGGCCCCACACAGCAACAATGATCCTGAGAAAGAAGAACAAAGAACACATTACCTAATATCAAACTGTACTACGAGGCCATAGTAATCAAAACAGCATGGTACTGGCATAAAAACAGACACATAGATCAATGGAACAAAATAGAGATCCCAGAAATAAACCCATGCCTTTATAGTCAAAAGCCTTTCTTTTAAAGACCTTTGTACTTTTGCAATACAAAGGGTAGATGTCAGGCTATCATAAAATGACTTAAGGGAGAAAGAAGTAAAGATTCCTCTTCCCCAAATGGTACGGTGTAACACCACTCCTAGCTAAAATTCCTCTTCTCCTCCATCATAAACCAAGATTTTTGTTAGCTATGTGGATTGAGTTGCCTCATTTGGGATAAAGGCAGCCTGGCCATATAATATTTCCACTAACCCAAGATTTTAATCACAAAAGAACAAGAAATAACTTGCTACCAATTTAAATGCATAATTTCAGAGAATCTTAAAACTGGAGAAGTTCTAGAATTCAACCAGGGCAATTCTCTCATCTCCTCAGAAATATGAAACAAGCTATGTGAATCACCCAGGATATACCAAAGGGTGAGTATAAATGAATGTTAGTTTCCTACCCTTGAAAAGTTCTCTGGGCCTTTGTTCTAGGCAATCAGACTCGGGAGTCCCTGCACTTAGCTTCAGAAATATTTTTCAAAAGCTTTGGTGTGAAGCTCTATTTTTAAACTTAGATTCAGTACTTGTGGATTTTCCTATTTTAACTCCAATAGTCAGTTGCTCTTATGATGCTCTCAGTTGCTCTCAATTTCTATAATGCTCTTAAGCATTATAGGAAAACCAACTACTATGCTTCAGATATAATAAAGAATGAAGTCAAAGAGGAAGTAATTCTTAGTCTAGGTCATCTATTACCACTACTACTACCACCACCACCACCCTGGGCATGACACAGGAGACAGAATAAACATAAGACATATACAACATGGCATTTGACTTCATCCTATATTTGCTCTCATAAAAAATAAAGATCAGTAAATACTGACAACCTAGAGTCACAATTTCAGAGACTCCTAAAACTTAGAAGAAACTTTAAAAATTCAACTATAACAACGCTCTCCCTTCATCACATATAAGTTAGCTGTGAGGCTTAAATGAGACATGTGAATCATATAAAAGCATTATATAGCGATTTAAAAATTCAAACATCTTTAAAGGCACATTATTTTGTAATGATCACATTATCTACATCATGGTGTTGGGGAAATGTGAATCCATTGACTAGATTATCAGGGTAGGCAAACTTTCCCTATAAAAGGCTGAACAATAAATATTTTAGGCTTTTCAAGCCACAAATGGGCTCTGTTAAATTTTTTTTCTTTTTTAATGATCCTTTAAAAATATAAAAATTACTCTTTTTTCTCACTGGTCACATAAAGGCTGATGGGCCAGATTTGCCTGGTTCAAGGTGGAGTATGCCGACTCCTGAACTGGAAAGTAATGTTAAAGTCATAAGAGATAACTCAAATCAATTTATAAAACAATGATAAAACCAGGAACAGACTTTAAATATTCACACTTCATTCAGTATATGATTCTACATGCAGAAACATTGCTACCTTACCTGAAATTCATCAAAACATAAGAGACATGCCTCTTCGCTGATTTCCTCGGCTATGGGGGCTATTGGGTCGTATGACTTAGCCATGAATCCTGGTTTCCTTTTTGGCAAATTCTGTTTAAGGCGGTGAATTCCTTAAATGGATAAAATTAAACACAAAATCAAATATTGTATTAATAGTACTTTTTAGACAACCAGAATACATTTTTAAAATCTTTAAATAGCCCTGGCTGGCGTAGCTCAGTGGATTGAGCACGGGCTGGGAACCAAAGTGTCCCAGGTTCGATTCCCAGTCAGGACACATGCCTGGGTTGCAGGCCACGGCCCCCAGCAACCGCACATTGATGTTTTTCTCTTTCTCCCTTCCTTCCCTATCTAAAAATAAATAAATAAAATCTTTTTAAAAATCTCTAAATAACTGAAACTTTACTGTAAACATAAGTGTAAATTCCACATACAATTTAATGTGATTATTGAAATTGGTTGCATTTTCTCTACCTCAAAATAAACTGCTTACATATGATTATATTCCCATGACTATAAGGATATTTTGGGGTCAATCCATCTCTACTCTTCAATCATTTTGGAGTTGACAAAGTAGTTGACCAGATGACTAGATGGTGACTTGATGGATCAACAGATCAATCTTAGTCCTGAGAATTTCAACGATACATGCAAAGAAGGTAGTCCTGCCCAATGTCTAGCATATCTAATCAGAATTTTCTTGTCTGTAGCCTGATACACTAAAGACAGTCCCACTTCATTTATTGTATGTTTACTTAATGCTGAAAGTATTATAAGAAAAGCACAATGTTCCTGACCCAAGGAGGTTACAATGTAACTGATAGACAAACAATGCAGAAGTGAAATAACATAAGAACACTGACAAAGCAATAAAACACACATACAACTACAAACTGAAAGCCTATTCAAGAATAACTTCTTTTTTTCATTAAATTGACTGGGGTGACATTACTCAATACCATTACTTAAGATTCAAGTGTACGATTCTGTAGTATTGGGTTGGCCAAAATGTCATGGGTTTGTTTTTTTTTTTGTAAAATAAAAGACACAGTTTTCATTTTCACCAATAACTTTATTGATTCAGACATTTTTAGTAGTATGTTGGCTATCTCCCACATGTGTAACACTGACTGTTCTCAATGTTTCAATTTGACCACTATCAGCTTCAACTGGACTACCTGACCATGGAGCATCATCCAGCAAGAAGTGTCTAGTGCAAAACTTCACAATGAACTTTTGATGTTTGATCAGTCATGGCACCTTGTCCACACACCACACAAATCTTTTTTTGAGTTTCAGTTGCATTTTTACCTTCCTTGAAATAATTAGGCACAATATGCCAAAAAATTACTTATTTTCTTCTACCTTCAATATTAAAATGGCTACATAAAAATTCACCAATTCTGATTTTTTTAAACGAATGATAATAGGACAGCTGTCACAATACAATACAATACAACAAAATTGTTTCAAACAAAGTTAAAAGACCACTAAGTGCTCCTAGAGCCATCTTACAGAAAAAAAACCAACAAACTTTTTGGCCAACCCAATATATCATCTATGTATTGCATCGTGTGTGCACCACCCAAAGTCTAGCCTCCTTACATCACCATATATTTGACCCCCTTTACTGTCTTCAGCATCGCCCTACCCACCTTCCCTCTGTTAACCACCATACTATTGTCTATGAGTCTGTTTGTGGCTTTCTGTTTATATTTCACATATGAGTGAAATCATATGGTTCTTGTACTTTTCGATGTGATGTATTTCACTTAGCATGATACTCTCAAGAACCATCCATGTTGTCGAAAATGGCAGTACTTCATCTTTTCTTACGGCTGAATAGTAGAGTAACTTTTTAAAACAGGTGAGGTTTAAACATTTCTTATTGATCCTTGGCAGAAACAGAAAATGCCTGACCTTCATATAGCAACCTCTGTTCTCACATTTGGAAGTATTGATTTATCCTTAGGACCAACTCTGGCCACATTACTAATTGTTTCAATATTGCACTAAATAAAATCTTACTTTAAGCAAAAATCTATTATTTTTTTTAAATTGTTGTTCAACTACAGTTGGCCCCATTTTCTCCCTATTACTCTCCTCTGCTCTACCCACCCCCACCTCCTACATTCAATCCCCCCTTGTCTTTATCCATGGATCCTTTATACATGTTCCTTTGGTGAACTTTCTCCTTCTTTGCCCCATTATCCCCCTCCCTCCCTTCTGGTTACTGTCAGTTTGTTCTTTATTTCTATTTCTCTGGTTCTATTTTGCTCACTTGTTTGTTTTGTTGATCAGGTTCCACTTATAGGTGAGATCATATGGTATTTGTCTTTCACCGCCTGGCTTATTTCACTTAGCATAATGTTCTCCAGTTCCATCCATGCTGTCACGAAGGGTAGGAGCTCCTTCTTTCTTTCTGCTGGGTAGTATTCCGTTGTGTAAATGTATCACAGTTTTTTGATCCACTCACTTACTGATGGCCACCTAGGCTGTTTTCTGTACTTGGCTATTATAAATTGCGCTGCTATGAACATTGGGGTGCATAGGTTCTTTTGAATTGGTGTTTCAGGGTTCTTAGGGTATAATCACAGGAGTGGAAATTCCAGGTCAAAAGGCAGTTCCATTTTTAGTTTTTTAAGAAAAATCTGTTTTTTAAATATTAAAATGTTCAGAATTTTTTAAAATAAGGAAAATTATTTTATACTGTTTGCTCACTTAAAATCACTTCTCCAGATAATTAACTTACTTTTGTGAACATCTAGCATGAAACCATGAAAATGAACCCGTTTTTTCCTCTTCATTTCCACATAAGCATAAAACATGTCCATCACCATTGTTTTGCCTGTACCTTAAAAAAAAAAGGATACTATTAAACAGTATGTACTGATTGCTCTAATGATTGTTCATTAGCTTTAGGATAATGAAACCACACTCTTCTACTGAAAAGCTTAAGACTATGTTACTTTTTCAGAAAGGAGTGTTTTTTTTATGTTAAACCAGTTAAAAATAATATATTACTCTTTTCTAATTCCTGTTTTTAGGAAATACAACATTTAGTCAATATAACAGGGGCTATTCCCCTTCCCACCAGAAAACTATGTTTATAAAATGGCAAAAATTATAGATTATTCACTCTTCAGTTTCTCTTCAAAAAGCACCAGTATGAATAAAATAATTTCATTAATTAAATACATTTTTGGGGGTCATCATTAAGTGTGAGGAACTATCCCAGGCACTATGGCAAAATTCAAATATGAAAAATAAAAAATAAAAATTAGTATCTAACATAAATACCGAAAATAAATAATAGAAGTAGATTAGAGCTGGAGGATTGCCAATTATAACACTTTTTCAAAAATCTGAGAATGTAAGTCTTTCAAAATAAGGCCTACTTGAAGAAATTCTGATACAGTCAGCCCTTATAATTAGATTATCTAATTTTCAACACTCTGGGACATTTTAATCACTATGATTGCATTAGTAATTGAAGAGTCAACAGCCTGGCCATTTAACGTGGGCATGCACAGAAAGCCTTATTCCCTGGCAGAACGGGGACAGTGACAGTGCTCAGGCTGGGTTCCCACCAAGCACTCCTCGGCAGGCCAGGAGCAGCTGTGCTGGTCCTGTCCCTCACCCTTCTGCTTTCTCCAGCACCGCCCCACCCACCACAGTGCCCATGCTTTTCCTGTGGGAGCTGCAGCTCAGGAAGTGAGATCTGAGTCTTAAATTTGGGGTGGGGAGGCATTCCTCCACTCCATAGATGACTTTGGGCCCATGCTGTTTGAATTGCCAGAAAGTTTTTATATATGAAAATACAGTTCGCTACAGAGACTTTTTAATGATGAAACCATTTAGACTGAAAAGTAATTTTGTCAAAAATATCCAGTACAATATCTCTTGATATAGTGAGTGGCAGCAGATTTTAAACCATTACATTTACCTAAAAAAGTCATTCCATAAAGTTTCAAATTCTGCTGCATAAAGCACAGTATATTGATAGATTCAGAAGTCATGAATTATCTAACCAAAAATGTGAATAATATATATTTGAAGTAACCTTTGGGCTAACTCTTTTTAAAATGGACTTAAAATAGCCCTGGCTGGTGTGGGTCAGTGGATTGAGTGCCGGCACCCCACTACCCTATATACTGTGATTGGCCCTGCCATGGGCATATGACCCAATTAGGTCAGGTTCTGTGGGGGGAATTAATACGGATTCTGAGAATCAGAATCATCCTTTCTCCTTTTTTCCCCCCTTCACCCAGGGACATTTTTTTTCATTGCTTTTAGGGAGAAAGTGAGGGAGAGAGGGAAAGAGAGAGAGATCAAAGTGAGACAGAAACATCAATCAGTTGCCTTTCCTACGTACCCTGACTGAGGATCAAACTGACAACCTAGGTATGTACCTATACCAGGAATGGAACCTACAAACTTTTGGTGTATAGGACAATGCTCCAACAATCAACCCACATCGGCCAAGGCCCTTCTCCTTTTGAGAGAGCAACCTAGAAGATCCCAGGAGACTTCTTTCCTATAACATCAACAATTCTTACCAAGAATGAAGCCAATAATAGGAAAGCAGAAGAATCAAAAGGTGAAGGAGAAGGGAAAGGGAGGGAAGGAGGAAGAGACCCCCAAAATATTATTTAAGCTCAAGTCTCTACTCATGGCTGAATCAGATCATTACTTGATTTCACAATTAAACCAACCATTAAATTCATCCCCAGGTTCAGCTAATTCAACTGGCCGAGGGTTTTTTTCCTGCAACTGAAAAAGAGTACTGAATGACACAGAATCAACAGCAGGGGGAAGATGATCAATTGCAAATAACATTAATATTCAAATGACACCAAAAATATAAACAGCTTTAAACATATTTTTTAATTAACTCCATCAGAAATAAAATAAATACAAATTAAAATACCAATGATATACTATTTTTATGTTGGTGAGGACAGAGGGGAATCCAAGTAAAACACCCAGGCTGAATTGGGTTAAGAGAGATCAGAATGATGGAAGTCCAACACAGGTGAAAATTGCAAGGCAAAGTACCAGAGAGGATGAAGCTATATAATGAAAGAGCTTTGAAACCAACACGAAAGTACTCTTCAGTCTTTGGCTACTTGTATGTAGGGTGATATTCCATGATTTGAGACAAAGAATGGCCACCAGGAAGCTATAAGGTGAACAATTTCTACTTGTATGTATTCAATATCATATCTCTGGAAATTATGGACAACACATGGATTCTTGTAGTAATAGAATCGTTCAGTATCTTGACTATGGTGGCAGATATATAAACCTACACAGGGGATAAACTGCACCCATACATGAATACAAGTAAAACTGGAGAAATCTGAGTAATTTCGGTGAGTTATGATAGTTATACTACAGCTTTACAAAATGTTACCTTCAAGGGCAATAAAATAGAAAATACCAAAATACATCACATGTAAGGGCAAGTTTTCTTTCATGGAACTATTTTTCAGGTGTGTAAGGGTGTGTGTGCACTCACAGAGTGAGTCAGGATGTAAAACATACTTCAAAAATCCTTCAAAGCCATTGCAACAGAGTGTGAGCTTTGGATGAATAAAGGCTGCCTCTGCTTTTATTCACGATTACACCACCAGAAACAACACACTGCCTGGCACAAGGCAGATGCTCAATAAACATTTGTCAAGTAAATGGAAGAATGAGGACAAAAGATGTTGAAAGAAGGTAGAGAAGAAACCAACACTACTTCCCAATTTGCTTCAGTCTATACAGAATCCTTAATAAAACCTTGTATATTCCTTAAGAGAAGATTTTTGCTAGGGAACTAATATGTAAAACCTAAGACTCTTTTATGTTCTAATTTTCAAGCCTATAGTTAGGAAGCCAAAAACGACTTCAAGAGCTCCCCACCCTGCTACGTGGCATCCGTTTCACAGGCGACCCCCCACAGAAGGAGCTGTAAGTAGTGTCCTCCATCATGGCCTCCAAACCCAACAGAGCTCTGCTCCCCAACTCCTAACCTTAAAATCAGCCTACCTTTCAACTGGTGAAAATTATCCATGTGAAATAGGTGATGTTAAACCAAGAGACTCTCAGAAAGGCACTGATAAACAAATAGGACTGTTTGTTATCTGATAAAATACCATCACCACTGCCGTCTGCCAGTCAAGAGCTGAAACCCTGTTGTAAGAAAGCCTGCTGTGGGGTAAGAAGGGAGCCACAAAATACTACTACAGCATTAGGTTCCTGCATGGTTTGTGCTAAGCATTTAATTAATGAAAACTTTTTTTTCAAGACTGAACCATGATGATAATCCAATTTATGTATGTACTCTACTGGGGTGCCCTGAATGGAGGGTTACCTGAGTCAATCATCTGAACATGTCTACAAAGAAAGGGAATACAGTCGAGTGGGCATGACAGAGGACAAGCCAAGTACAGGAATAAGGAAGAGGGCTCTAAGAAACAGACATCCTCTTCCCATCACTTCTTAAAATGTAATACCTGTTTCCCAAGTCTAAAAAAGGAAAAGAGTACTCTTTACCACACTGTGAGGCAGAAGACCATTTTCAGCAGTCAGACTGTCGACATTCCAGAAAAATGTCGACCTCACTCTAAAGGGAGGCACAATTATCATCAAAGACCCCAGGACACCCTGCAGAGGGACTTCAAACACACCAATGTAGAACTCAGCCTCCACGGAAAGAAAACGAAGAGGCTCCTGGTTGACAAATGGTGGGGAAATGGAAAGGAACTGCCACTGCTCGCACTATCTGCAGTCATGCACAGAACGTGATCGAGGGTGATGCACTGGGCTTCCGTTACAAGAAGAGGCCTGTGCACACTCACTTCCCCATCAATGTTGTTATTCAGGAGAATGGTTCTCTTGTTGAAATCAGAAATTTCTTGGGAAAAAATATATCTGCAGGGTTCAGATGAGGTCAGGTGTCGGTGGTTCAGTATCTCAAGCCCAAAACGATGAGTTGATTCTTGAAGGAAATGGCATTGAACTTGTATCAAGTTCAGTTGCTCTGATTAAGCAAACCACAACAGTTAAAAACAAGGATATCAAAAAAATTTTGGATGGTATCTATCTTTCTGAAAAAGGGATAGTTCTGTAGGTTGATGAATAAGATCTAAGTTGTCCAGGTATATAGAAACAGCAAGATGCCAAATGAATAATTTTTAGACTTCTTCGTAATATTTTAAAGATGCAGTAAAAGCCATGTATTGATTTGTGGGGTGAGGTAAGAAGATAGTAAAGAATAAGAGCTTGTGAAGCCACTCTGAGGCTATTCTCCTAGCCAGAGAGCCTCCCCAAATGAGAGTCTGACCTATCATTTAGTACCTGTTTTGTAAGGATTCTGAAGTAAACTGAGTATAGCCACCGAAATGTTCATCTCACTTCCTATTTTGGAATCCCCTTCTCTTCTCCTCTCTACATTATAAAGATGTTCCTAACTAAAGGTTGCCACACACCCAGCCTATGTAAACATGTTATCACATCTTTTCTAATTCTTTCAAGCATTCAGATGCATGACGTTTATTGTATATACTTCCCTTCAATTAGTTAGAATATGGCTGTATTTTTCAAACTAAAATCCAACAACTCATGTTTTTTAAAAAAAGTCCTTTTGCAGAAATAGAAGAAGGTGATCTTTACCAACCATCCCCATATATGGTAAAAAGTAAGAGGAGAAATGAAACATTGGTTTTGCAATGACTGAGCATGAAAGTGAAGGGATAGGAAGTATAGATTCTCCAAAGAGGCAAATAAGATCTGATAACAGGGTGAGATCTGCTGGCAGTGCCCCAAGGTGCAGACACATAAAACTGATCATGCACACCTGGAGTAATTATTTAATGCTTTCTAAATAAGCAGGAAGCATTCACTGGTGTCAAAAATACCAGTTAGCTAATGAACTAAGGGAAAAAATAGTTTGGCTTGTTTCACATTTTTTAAAATCTGTCAATTTCAGGAACTTGAAGAATTTCAGGGGCAATCTCCATCACTCACTTTTGTGATCTAAACAAGTCTCCTTTTATTAGGTTCGTTAAATCTGTAAATGTGAAACAGGAACTTAGTGGCATTCACAAACAAATCAGAAAAAAGGAAGGACCCTCTTTCTTCAATACGAGAAAGTAAATGTTCAAAGTTTTATATTTAAGGCACTATACTAAATATATTTCTAAGATAATAATTCTGCCACCACTCCCTCATAATGCAAATGTGGTACAGCTACAGGGGCCTGAAGCTTTTTATTAGTTCAGGACCAAAACTGATCCCTCTACATGTAAATGAAAGTTTTGAGTATCCCACTAAAGAAATGATTGGCAAGCAATAGGGTCAGGTAAAGTAAGAGCTGTCTTCATCACATCAGTGAATGTGGGTAACTAGGGAGAGGTTTAGATCTAGAAGGATTTGTTTGATGGGAATGGAAAGCAGAAAACAGACAACTTCATCAAGAATGAAGTCAGAGAAGAAGTAAGACATTAGTTGATTAGGAAAATCTAGAAAGTAAGCAACCAGCTCATAAATTCTCCATGAAAATATGAGTCTGTGTGTCCAAGGTATAGAAATGGGAGACCAAGGAAATACTACTGTTACAGGGTGCAGCCAAGAGGGGGGACCCCAAATAGGCATTTGAAATGGGGTCCAGAACTTAAGGTGTCCAGGAGATTTTAAGATGTCTTCACCCCCACCCCCCAGGTGTGGGTTAGAGGAAGGGACAAATGGAGCAGGGCCTTTGAGAGCTGTTTCTCGCATAGCAACAGCCTTATAGCTAACCTCTGGCATGGTCATTTAACATATCTATAGCCTTTGGCTGGTCACTTAATATGTTAAATAGCTGTGGCCCTGCTCTGAGCCAGGAGAATGGAAGTAACTACCCCACCAAGATGTAACTGGGGGGTAGGTCCCCCAAGTTACAGCGCCTGCATGGGAGCTCGGAGAAGACTGGCTCCATGACACGGGGCCACACGTGCCCAGACTCACGATGGCAGTCCAGTAAAGCTGGAAGGGTATGAGTTCTGGCATGTGAAGCCGAGTGTGGGAGGAGTCGGAAATGGGGCTGCAGAGGAAGATTAGCGCGGGGATTTAAACCCAGACACGGCAGCCATTGAGGAGAGAACCACGCGGCTTTGGCAGTGGGGACTCCCCCTTCCCACAGCTTTGTAAGAGGGAGAAGCACGTGGTTTTGGCTGAGTGGAGACTCCCATGGTCCTGGGAGACAGGACTACGTGGCTTTGCCAGAGTGGGGACCCCCACAGCTTTAGAAGGGGGAACCACCACCTGGTTTTAGCAGAGATCCCGGCGACTCAGCTGAGGGTGCCGGGAACCCAGGGAGGTCTCCCAGTCAAGATGGAATACTAACTGGAAAGAACCAGAGGACTGCCTGAGCCACGAACTTCTATTCCCTTTCCTGAGATATGGTACTCTGGACTGGGCAAAGGGGGAAGGAAGGAAGGACTGTGTCTGTTTGTGGGTGTTTTAAGGGATGTTAGGAATTTTTGATGAAGATATCAGGTCACTACTTTAAGTCTGTATAGCATGAAATAAGCATTTCCTTTCCTTTTCACGAATCTCTGGCATTTAGAGACATCTTTCCTCTGGCAGCGGATATTACGGACCTGGAGGCTTTTTTTTTTCAATAATTGTATATCATCCCAGGCCCCCCTTGTTTGTTCTGTAACACTACCACTTGTGCATTAAGAGTATCCACTAATAACTAAATTGAGGATAAGGGCTTATATTATGAGTAGAAATATTAGTGAAAAGCAAAAGTGGAAAAGAACAGCTTTTTAAAAAGCTATACATTAAGCTAAAGCAAACAGCAGTGAGCAACAAGAATCTGAGTTATCTAACAACCTACCTATAGATGATTTCCTTCCCCAAGATCAACTCACTTTATGCATTAAATAATATTTGTACCCTAACATGCTGATACTACCTTAAACTATAGGTATGCCCTATGACAAGTGAAAGTGCAAACTAAGATAAGTGCCCCCTCTTCCCCCTATTTTACCTTACCTCATCCTACTCTCTTGTTGGTAGTGGATTGAAGGATGGAAATGGAAGTTATCTCTGAGCAAAAGGTGGGAAACTTGCTGTTTGTACCACCCAAAACTTGTTTTAACACACTTACCAACATCTCCATAAACATAGAGGCCCTTTGGAGGTTTGCTCCTTGAAAAAAGCTGCAAATTAAGAAAAAATTATAAATGTCTAACATGGAAATAATTATTGTCATTTACATAATGTTCCTAACTGTGCTATATACAGGGCTGAAATGGGCTATCGCACACAATACAAAAAGCTTGATGTGCAAGGCTAGGAAGCCTAACTTAAGTTTCTGTGCAGGAGGCAAGAGTCGTAGTAGCCCAGAGCAAGAGCACTGAAGTCACAAAGTTTATATCCCCTACACCATTTGCTAACCAAGTAATCTTCCCCCTCTTTCCCAAACAGGCTCTCCAAACAATGGCAGTCTAGCTCATTCCCAGCAAGCACCAGATTAGAAGAATTTTTCTGGAGAAATGAAATGATCTCCAGAAGAAAAAAAGAAATGACTCAAAGGCATTTAGGTGTCGGTTTCTCCCACAGAAGGACCTGGATCCCTACCAGATCGCTTTAAGCATACCACTCAACCAACCTAAGATGGACCTTTCAATCAGCTCGTTAGTATCTGAAAAGACACTAAAATGAACTGACAACCTAGACACCTGGTTTTTAAAAAAATCTTCAAAGATGAAAGCTGGAAACCAGACCAAATATGCAGGGGCAAAAAACTCACAGAAAACAGAGACTACACAAGCAAAAGAAATCTTCAAAAATAAAACCCTAATCAATATAATTAATATACTGAGAAAAATAAGAAAAGCTATTAAAACTGTAAAGCAAGAACAAAATGCAATTTTAAAAAGAAACATTAAGAACAAAAGAGAGCACTCTGAAATTTAAAATATGGTAGAAGAAATAAAATCTCAGAGAAAGGTTTAGAAGATAAGCTTGATGAAATGTTCTAGAATATACAACAAATAAGCAGCAGTAAAAGATGAAAAATATATGAAAATTACAAAATTAATTCAGGAGCTCCAACATCTGACAAAAGGGAATTCTAGAAAGAGAAAAATAGAGATAAAAAGAGAGGAGGAAGTTATCTATGAAATAATGCAAAAATTTTTCTCAGAACTGAAGAACTTGATTTCTAGACTGGAAGGACAGGCTGAGCATCTGACACAGTGAGGGAAGACACATACCAAGTTACAAACCTGCAATCTCAGAACTCCTGAGGTATAAAGAAGATCCTACAAACATTCAAGGTAGTGGAGGAAGGAGGGTGGAGAAAACAGGCCACAAGCAGATAAAGACTTTGAATGAAATTTGAAGGAAAATGATTTCCAACCTATCTAATCTACCCATCAAGTGTGAAAATGGAAAACTGACATTCCATACACATAGGATCTCAAAAACACCTCCCCAGCAGGGCTCCAGGAAACACAGAGGATCCTGGGAAGGAAGCCCTGGTGAGATGGAGGGCTGCTCCAGGACCGTGGTGGCACAGCAGGTCAAGAAAGAAAGTCCAGACCAAAACAGGAGGGGGAGGGCTTCAGGAAAGAAACAAAAGGAAACTTTCTCTTTACCATATATTATTGGGTGGCTTTACTAGTGCTTAGATGGCTTTAACTTCATTTGACACAATTTTGTTAGATTGTATTTTGATACCTGTTGTATCAGCATGCATTTTCTAAAAGCTTACCAAAATTGGTAAATTTTTGTGCATCCATTTTAATATTGAAGATGGAAGAAAATAGGTAACATTTTTGGTTTATGATGCTCTATTATTTTAAGGAAGGTAAAAATACAACTGAAACCAAAAAACAATTTGTGCAGTGTATGGAGAAGGTGCTGTGACTGATTAAACATATCAAAAGTGGTTTGCGAAGTTTCTTGGTACTATTGACATTTTGGCCAAATGATTCTTTGCTGTGGGACTGTCTCATGCATTGGCAGATGTTTAGCAGCACCCCTGGCCTCCACCCACTAGAAACCAATAGCAGGAGATAGCTGACATACTCAAAATATCCAAATCAATAAAGTTATTGCTGAAAATGAAAAATGTACCTTATTTTACAAAAAAACTTAATGGCCTTTCTGGCCAACCCAATATATCTGGTGCTGGGTGGGTACTGGAAATATCTGGGGGAACACTTTGTAAAGTATATGATTGTCAAACCCAATATTATCAACCCAAATAACCGTCCTGAACTTTGTTCCAGTTAGAAGAATAACCTTTAAGCGCTGCAGCAGTCCCTAGACATCTGCACAACAAGCCAAAGCACTGTTTTTTTGTCATGTACAATGCGCAGCCATACTTTTGTGAGCATTATACACAGGATTATCATACTGATTATTATACCTATGGTAGGTAGTCATGTATGCCCATGTATACCCATGTATAATGCGCATCCTTATTTTCCCCTCAAATTTTGGGCAAAAAAGTGCACATTATATACAGCAAAATATAGTACATGAGAGAATTTGATTCAGAGAAAGTAAAAGAAGAAACCAAGGTTATGCTATTCTGTACCAGTTGGAGGACACATATTTGGGCAGAGAACATTGGCAAAATCTAGAATCTAGTACACAATGCTGTTATTGCTTTTTTTAAGGTTTTATTTATTTATTTACTTACTTATTTATTGGGAAGGGAGGGAGAGAAACATGGATTGGCTACCTCTTGCATGCCCCCAACTGGGGAACTGGCCTGCAACCCAGGCATGTGCCCTGACTGGGAATCAAACTGGAGACCTTTTGGGTTGCAGTAGCACTCAATCCAGTGAGCCACACCAGCCGGGACAATACTGTTGGTTTTTTATCACTCCAACCTGCCTCAGAAACGTCTCCTACTTTCCTCATTGTTCAGTTTTCCCTACTAAATCCAGCCCCTAGGGACACCAGCATGTCCCTTCCAGAAGAAACTGCACTATGGTTTACACAAAAGGATATATTTTTGCTTTGACTTTGCCAGCTGGATGCCTTCCCTGTGCACATAAACTCTCCACCTATTCTTTTTTTTTAATATATTTTATTGATTATGCTATTACAGTTGTCCCATTCCCCCCCCCTTTATTCCCCTCTGCCCTGCACCTCCCCTCCCTCCAGCACTCCCCATCTTAGTTCATGTCCATGGGTCATACATATAAGTTCTTTGGCTCCTCCATTTCCTATACTATTCTTAACCTACCCCTGTCTATTATCATTTATGCTTCTTATTCCCTGTACCTTTTCCCTCTTTCTTCCCCTTTCCCTTCCCTGCTGATAACCCTCCATATGATCACCATTTCTGTGATTCTGTTCCTATTCTAGCTGTTCACTCAGTTTGTTTTCTCCATCTATTCTTAAATCTCAACTGAAAACCATTACTACTCCTGGCAAATCCTCTTAATTTGTCTTATTTTAATATCTTATATGAACTATTCCTGTATACTGGTTATTTTGTTTTCAACTTGCCTGGGAGGAAAAAAAAAGTGTTATGCTCTTAAACAAATTTAGAACAGCTTCAAATTGGAAAACTTACATATAACCTAATAATCTCGAAGTATATTCTATGTATTAGAAATCTTTTGAAAGCAGCATTCTGTATTAGGAAACTGGGAGTGTCCTAGCAATTTATAATTCTTCACAACACTTTTTGTAAGAATAGTCTGGGGCCTATTCTAGTGCTGCTCACAGGATAGAAACCATACATGCTGAATAAATGAAGTTCAAGACAAAAAAGAAATAACAAAGATGGGGGAAAGGATGACAAAGAACTCAGTGCTACTGGGGAAAAATGCACTCAAGGCGCTGTCTTCTATTTACCCACTCAAACTCCATATATTTCTGAGAAAGCACTTAGGCAAATATTATATAACATATCTAATTTATAATATATTATAATATACTTTATAGTAATATTTATAAAATGATAAAGAGATACCATTACAGAGTACCAAGGGGGAAGATTCTCCAGCATCTGAAACCACAAACAACTGGTATGACATAAATACTATTTAAGATGCAGATTCTACTCTAAATAAATTGAAAAATAACATGGATGCTCCTCTAACAATAAATATTAGATATCATCTATCTAAACAATAGTACATACTCACAAGTATTTTCACTTGGAGAGGCAAGCCAGTCTTCTCCTAATAAAATTTCAGTCTTCTAAGAATTATTGAAATTATTTCAAGAGATTTAAAAATCTGTTTTAAGGAGAAAATCAGAGGACTGAATGGAGAACAGTAAGACTATTTAGAAGGCTGTAAAATGGGTCCTAAATAAATTTTAAAATTCTTTTCTCATAGCAGTGAACTCAGGGAGAGTTGGGGTCAAGCAGTTTTCTTCAGAGTGACTCACACCCAGGAACCCGCATCATTTACATGCTCCTAATTTACATTTTACCTAGTTTACAATTTACAACCGAATTCTCACAATTCACCTAGTTTTCAGTTTCATTAAATTCCCTTTCTTAATGTATTAATTTTCTGTAATTTGTTCTTATGTCTCAGAGAACTCCACCCTGGCATAGTTCCCTGGTGCTGGTATTCTCCAAGGGCTCCCCTCCCCCAAAGCCCTTCTCTTTCTTCCTCTGTACCCCAGGATGCCAGCTGGCTTGCTGGCTGGCTGCTCACTGGTTTCAGCCCCTGGGAGGAGGCACTACTTGCCGGAGATAGGAGGGATGGGTAGAGGGCAAGTCAGGTCATTCTCTCCCATTCCCTCCCTGCTTCTGTGCTGGGTCTCGAGGAGCCACATCCCTCCAGGCTCCCCCACCCCACTCCAAGCCTTATTTGCTGCCCTAGGCCTGCCCTGTCCGTGACTATCTAAGTCATCTCTTGATTCAGTCTTTATTTGAAACATCTGCTGTGAATTGTCTCCTGCCAAGACTCTGATACACACCCAACCCCTAAAATGCACAGACGCAACATTAGACAAGCACTTGAAAATGTGAACATGAATAAGTTTCTCCAGTGACCAGTGTAAGATTTGTCATGTTACTTGTATCTTAGGAAATTTAGAAATGAGAATGATGACACCTATCCTAATGGGGTTTTTTTTATTTTTATATATTGATTTTAGAGAGGGGAGAAGGGGGAAGAGAAAGAGAGAGACTTGATTTGTTGTTACACATATTTATGCAGTCATTGGTTGATTC